GCTCCTGAGTAAGACTCTTCTCCTAGGTCACCAGGCGTTCCTTAACGTGTGCCAAGGATTTCTCCAAGGTGTCGTATGAGGACATTTTTTGGCGAAGAGGTCTCAGCTCGGCCTTGAAATTGTTGATGGTCGCCTCCAGCTCATTATTTTTCTTCTGGGCCGCCTCCAACTGAGCCCGGATAGCAGAAGTAGCCTGCGCCTGATAATAAAGAATATCAGTTGTCAAAATCTCATTTTGGGCAATTTGAAACATTGCCTTATCACAGTTAGAGGTGGCCATAGCTTTTGTAGCCTTTACCTCTTTGTTCTTCCTGTCAAGCGGCTTGCGAAGGCCGTTCACTCGGAGCAGGGCCTAAGTAAAAGGGAACAGGCGTCAGTTTTCAAACAAAAAACAGGCGTCCTAGAATTTAAATAACCAAAAATATGCTAAGTATACCTCAGCAAGGACCCCTGCAATCCCGTCTAGGTCAAGGGTGCCGACACCCCTGACCGCCTCCCTCTCAGCCGGAGGGACGGCTTTGATCATAGACTTGGCCACCTCGACCAAGTCTGGCTCCGGAGGGCCGGCTGCATCAAGCATAAACAAACGGGTTAGACCTAGTAAAGAAGGGAGCAAGTCTAAATTCACAAGGACAACTTCATACTTCTAGGCGGCCTGATTGGAGTTTTAGAAGGAGTGGACGGTTGTTTCTCATCCGCCGCATGTTTCCTGGCAGTACCAGGAGAGCTCGCAACAGTCGTCCTCCGGGTCTTGGAGTCCGGCTGTTGGGAAGAAGAGGTTCTTGGAGTGCCCGTCTGAAAAGAAAAAAAAACACTCGGTCAGTATATGCATAAACCCAACTCCAAAAAGAGAGTGAAAGGTTCGGATCTCACCAAGGGCGCCCCCTTGTTGGGGGAGTCGGTTGAGGATTGTTGCATAATAGAGGCTCGCAACATGGCCGCCGCAGTCTTGGAAGCGGTGATCTTGCTCATGGCGTCCGCTACAAAGACAAGATACCAAGTTAATAAAAAGATAAATAGTAACTCATGGCAAAAAAGAGTATTCGACAGGCCGGCTACCTCTTGAACACCGACTGCTAAGGCCACAGGCGGCCAGAAAGTACTCGTCATAGAGCCATTTGATGCTCGGGACGCAGTGCAGGGGTACTTGCTCTCGTACCCCTGTAGTAGAGTCGACCCTCGACTCTACTTTAAAGAGTCCTTTATCCAGGATCTCTTTCTTGGCTTTAGGGGGAACAGGCGGCATGCTGCGGCCGCCTGCAAGAAGAGGCGGATCCCTGTTCCACCTGTTGAAGCGCTTGTTCAGCTCTGTGTCTGAACTTTCAATGATAAGGAAGGTGTTTTGCCAATCCTTCCACTTGTTTGCTTTACCTCTTGTCATGAGGTAGCCTCTGTGGCTCGTCAATTGATACCAGCCGGTACCGCCTGCCTTAGGGGTCCGGCTGAGGTAGTTCATGTGGGCGAAAGCCTCGAAGTTTGGCTCCACCCCGTGCAGTTCGCACCCGGCCACATAGCCGAGTACGTTGACCCAGGAGTTTGGGGCTAACTGCCATAACCCCAACTCATACCCATCCAAGATCCGCTGAACAGCCGGATGTAGTGGAAAGCGCAGCCCAGCCCTGATGGCCGCCTCGTAGCAGCCAAAGCAGGCGCTATCATAACTAGTACCAGCCGGCCAGACGACTGTGTCTTCTGGATCCGGCACGAAAACTAAAAAGCCAGGGCCCATTGTGTGGTTTGCAATAAAGCTCCCCACTCTCTCTTGCATGGCCGTGATCCGGCCCCGTGGGACAGTGCAGTAGTAAGGGGTATTTTGCTCTCGGTAAGAGGCGGATGGCTCCGCCCAATTGTCCCCCTTCTCAACTGCGTGAGAAAGCCTCGCCTCTTGTAGGCGGTTTTTTTTCTCTTCCGTGTCCAGAGAAGCATGACCAGAAGAACTAGACTCGGATTCGTCCTCTGACGAGTCCGAAGAGGATGACTCCTCCCCTCTCCCAGAGGGGCCCGCCTTCTCTCCTTCAAAAGGAGTAGGAGAGAATGTAGACATGTCAACTGTAAAATGGGAAGGGTCACCTTGACCCCTCCCTCAGAACTGTCGACTGTCAAGCCGCCTTGGTTCACTTCCACATCTGGCGCCTGGTCAGATGTTTCACTAATCGGCACCCTGTGGGAGGAGCCGTCTGAGTTCGAGATCCTAGCAGTTCTTTTTGTTCTGTCCATCATGTTCTGCATAGACACAGAGACAGTTGGACTTTGTATAAAGGGCAAAGATGGGTCCGGAAAAGGGCAGGCGGCACTCCTAGTCCTAGATTCAGCCGTCCCCGGTGACCAGCTGATCACTAACCTAGGTCGTGTCGTGTGCTTCCGTGGTGCCATTTCAAAAAAGAATAAAATAAAGAGAAAATTAAGAGTAAGAGAACCGACGGTTACCTGAACGAGTGAAGTTGACGGAGTTCTGAAAATCCTGAGTAGCCGGCTTGTCAGAGCAGGCGGTAGGCAGAAAGAGTCCGGAATGTTAGAGCAAGTTCAGGGGTCCGAATGTTCTCTCTAAAAAGTTCTCAAGTGTGAAAATGACTGAAGTCAACACACCCTTATATAGGCAAAGTGAGAAGGCGAAGGGTCACTTCCAAAATTCAAAATTTGGGCGGGAGAATCTCTCGGCCTTTCACCGAGTGACACCTGTAGCAGGCCGTCGCCTGTCACGGTGCGACACCTGTCACAGGTAACACGTGACCAGTCACGTGCCACCTGTGAGGGGCAAATGATTAGGGGTTTTTTATCCACCAATCAGCATCCGACACGTGGGCCAGCCAGGTTTCGCCACGTGTCCTTCATGTAGGCCAATAGGAGCCTGCCACGTGTCATCAAGAGATTCGTCCTCCTTGGACCAATTGCAATGTGACACGTGTCCACCCATGCCAAATGGGAAAACCGGCCAACAAGGCCCAATCATTGTGGGAGGCCCAGTCAGCCTTAGGTTTAACCTAAACCTAGTATTGGCACGCATCCCAAGGCATATAAATATGCCCATTAATCCTCATTAAGGGAGAGGACACACATTTAACACTCTCACCTAGAGAGACCCAATTACTTTTATTTCCGCATTAATTACTCCTTAATCAAGTACTAACTTGACCGTCGGAGGCGGATCTCCAATCGTCCGGAGCATCCGTTTGTTTTGCAGGTACAGGCGTCCGGTTCCAGTCTCAGAATTGTAACTCTCCCGCAGGACATCAGAAAACCCCGAAACACTTACCATCCTCGCTATCAAAGAGCATGATATAATGCTGAATCCATTTCCTTAAAGAACTGAACTCAGGATACTTAGAGCAAATAGCCAGGGACCCACTCTCCCAGACTTCCTTTGCTAGATCACAATATTGGAAGAGATGTTGACTTTCCTCTCTTTCCGTTCCACAATAATCACAGGCTTCCTCCACCTGTATACCCCTCTTAGCTAAGTTTGTCTTAAATGCAATACCATCGTGGAAGAGCCTCCACAAGAAGAGCTTCCATTTCGGTTGAATATTTAATCTCCAAATGAGCTTCACAAAGTCTTGATTTGTGGGAGAGAAATTGTTCCTTTCCAACCCTTTCCCTTTGGAGAGAAAATAGTATCCTGTTTTAACCGTGTAATTCCCCGATGGATGATGTTTCCAGTACATATAGTCCTCCTCTTGAATTGGGGGTAACTCCATAGCTAAGATGGCCTTAGCACTCTTCTACTCAAAGCATTCTCTCACTTTCCCTGCCTTCCAAGCCACTGTATTAGTATCAATAAAATCACTCACCTTCCATTGCATTGTTGCTCTCAAGGTTTGGGTCGAATGAACAGTCGGAATTTCTCCTTGAACCCACGCCGAGCTCATAGCTTTAATATTCATCCCATTCCCAACTTTCCAGGTGAATCCTTCCTTGAAGCCATCTGCGGATCTCTGCAAACTAGATCTTCCTAGGGAAGGATTACCAGAGCTCTTATATGGCCTTGACATGTTGCAAATGCCACATTTATGACACCCTCCATACACCTTTGAAAGAAGCAGTTGTGGATTAAGATGCATTCTCGTTGCTTGCTTGAAAAGTAAGGCCTTATTTAAGATTGTTGTTCCTCTAATACCTAAACCTCCCATGCTCTTTGGGAGCTGAGTGACTCCCTTGCTGACCCAATGCATTCCTTTATTTCCATTGTTCGACCACCAAAATCTCGTGATTAGCGAATCAATCTTATTAGCTACACTCTGAGGCAACTTAAGACATTTCATAACATGAGATGAAATGCTTACCAAAACTGTATTGACGAGAATTAGTTTTGTAGCCTGAGAGATATTAAGAGAGGCCCAAGATAAAATTTTCTCAGACACTTTGTCCACCAGATACTGAAAGGAGTCTTTTTTCCTTCCTTGTATGTCAATTGGAGCCCCTAGATGAGTTCCCATATTATTCGTTTCTGTCATCGAAAGGATACCTTTCAAGACCCCTTTCATCCTCTCATCCACCCCCGGCGAAAACTTCACAAATGATTTTTGTAAATTCAATTGTTGACCAGAAGCCTTACCCAATCTCTGGAGGATGTCGTTAATGCATCTACATGAGTCCTCAGTTGCTTTGAAGAACAACATGGCATCATCCGCAAAAAAGAGATGTGAAATAGTAGGTGAACGCCTTGACACCCCACTACACCAAAAACTAGATTAGAGATCGCAAAATATACAACGGTTACCAAAGATAGGCGTTCTCCTGAAGAATATAGAACGTATAGATATAAGAGGCGTTCTGTATATAAATACATGTGGAACGGTTAGCATAGTTAACCGTTCTCTATTTCTTTCTACTGAAATAATTTTAAAAAATAATTAATTATTATAGATTATATAGAACGGTCATCTTAACAACCGTTTTGTATTGTATTAATTAATTGGTTTTTTTAAATTATTAGGTGGAAAAAATATACGGAGTAATAATTTGCCCAAATTAATTAAAGGCGGCTAAAAGGAATATTGAAGCACACGCTCAATTTCACTTTCACTTTAACTAATACCTTAAAAAAAAGGTACTGCATTTGTTTATTGATGCGTGAAACCTCCATATATTATAACCTTCAACCTCCATACGATGACTGTTCTCCATACAACCGCTCCACCACCGCACACCGCTCCACCGCCGTACCACCGAACCACTGGCGCACAACTTCTGAGCACCGCACCACCCGCGCTCCGCTGAGGTAGGTTCGAATCTTCTTGTCATTTTTTTTTTTGAAACAATCGAATCTTCTTGTTATAGAGTAATTGAATTTTGATTATTTGTCAATCGAACCGCATGAATCATTCGAATTATGAAGGAAACATAATTAAATTCATAGTATTCATCTATTTAATTGATTTGCAATTTGAATTTTAGGTGATTGAAAAAAAAGTTTTAGTTTTAGGGTTAAATTCAATCGATTGTTTGTATGCAAATATTTCAGTTGAATTGCAGTTAGTTAAGTCAAATTACTCTTAATTTTTTCGAATTTACATTTATTTCAATAGTAATCAAAATAATATTAGCCAAATTAATCTTACCTAAGTTCAATTTTGAACCCTAATCAGATAAAGAAAGAGGGGTAGGGGAAATTGATTACCACGGGATTATTGTGCTCTAATAATTTCAAATACTCTGGCAAACGGGGATTTTCGGAGATAGAAGCTATGAAACATGTCAAGGAATTGACTCAGTTGGGTCCTCATTCTGTTGGTTCTGATGCTCTTGACCTCGCTTTGAAGGTTCTATATATTTCTTGAGTATTATGTATCTCAGTCTCATAGTTCGAAACTTCTTTTGTCTTTAAATTATGTGCCAATTTAGCTAGTGTGGCAAATCGATTATTATTTTTGCAATTTGGCAGTGGGGTTGATGGTGATACTTGTTATCTACAATGTGATTGTTATATCCTGTTTTTGTTTTTATTAATCAGTTTCTATAGGTGTTCTACTAGGATGGCTGAACATCAACAAAGATTAAGCAGATTATGAATAAAATAAGTGTAAAATAAATTGACTAAAGTAAAATTAGCAATGTACCACCATATTATCCTTACTATTAGATCCTTTTCACATCTCATTAGCTAAGTGATTACTGGGGTAAGTTGATAATGTGTATTTCCGAAGCAAATGTGACTAATTCTTCAACAAGGAGAGGGGGGGTTAACTAAACGGCTAATGTTCTTTCATGTTGTTGAATGTTCTTATACCCTGGACGAACTTGTATTCTTTTGTGTTTAAAAATTTGTATGTGAATGATCATCAATAAGGAGGGAACTTCAAAAGAGTTAGTTACGTGTCGTCTTTCATAGTACCATGCACTTGTTTTATTTGTGTAGCTGTATTTTATGGTGAAGTAAATAGGTCTTTAGAAGTGGAAGTGATTATTTTGTGAATTTCTCTCTAACAATCTGTGAAGGGCTGTTGCTCTCAGTTTCTTTTTGTTGTAGAATATATTTTGACTTTTTACTAGGAGTAGTTACTATTTGTCCTACCCATGATGCCCCTAGGAATTCTTTTTTCCCTTGATTTAGCTGTTGATCCCTGCCTAAAAGTTGGTAGGGTATCTGAGTCAGCATTGAGCTCTCCAAAATGGAATATGAGTGCCGCAAAAAAGCTATCTTTGTAAACAATACATGGACGCCTGCTAGTACTGTTTGGTTTGTTTTTCATTTCTGGGTCTCTTCTTAACATATCAGCTCAAACATAGTATAGCCTTAAATTTACTACCATTAACTATAAAAACCATTTTCTTCAGTTTTCTGTATTGTTTGTCCATTATTCATGCAAGTTGATATGAACTAATAGAGCTAAATCTAGAAAACTATTTCTCTGCTGGATAGTGTTTCGTTTCTAATTGCTAGACTGTTGGACATTATTAGTCCTGGCATTCGTGCAAATTAGAAAGTATAAATAGTTGTGATGTTTTATCATTGACTCACAACTTGAAAGCAAAAAATTACATTCGAAATTAGAAATAGCTAACTTGTTTTGACAAAAAAAATATGTGTAGCAGTATGTTTGAAATCTGATACTTTTAATTAGAAGGATCCTGGGTATTAAAGTTTCTCTCTTGGTTTTTTGTTTGACTTTCACTCTTTATTTCTCTCTTAGTTTTTTGTCTGATACTCTGATTGTGTTGGCCCTTAGCTATCTGGACTTTTGTATGCCATCTGTCTACTAAAATTTGCATACTTGATAAGCCTCTTATCTTGGCTTTTGCATCACTCTCCTTTCACTTAAGTGACCCTTGCGATTTTGTCTACAATTATTTTATTGAATACAGTTTCTCTAAATACATCATTTTCAATCTTTCTCTTATGGTTTTCCTTTTCCTATTGGGCAGTATGTGCTGCTTGCTGCAGAAAAGATAAAAATACATATCTCATTGGGAAGTTGATGTTGAGGTGGAAGAGTTTTATCTCAAGGAGGGTGCAAATCATCTTAATGGCGGCTTATTTGTAGGGAAAACACTTATTTATGCTGATCTAAATCATATTATCTTGAGGATCACCCCCAAATATGAATCTGAAGCGAAGGAAAACTATGTTTTGGTTTCATCTCACATTGATACTGATGTGTTCTCACATACGTATGTGATTATAATATCTTTCACTGTTGTTTTGACTTTTGACTGTCTCTGTATTTGTGACAAGCTTCTGAAGAAGAGTTTAGTAATATACTTATTCTCTTGAAACATCTATATCTATGTATGCCTTTCTTATGGACTAGATCTTGGACCTGTGTTTCATGTCTTTAAAGGATTGGATGGAGTTAATCCGACGCCATTAAATTATATATATGAAGTATATTTTGATGGCTTTCGTCATATCTGGAAATATTTTTGTTAATTTTATTATACATAAATTTATATTGCACGTATATAGGATCATGGATTTTCTTACAGGATATATGTACAAGATACAAAACAGGAATACAACAAATATAGGTCTAAAATGAAATACAAAAATAATACAGATTATTAATACAGGATTAATAGAATACAAAGTATAAAATACGTAAAAGGGTAATTCGAATAATTATGGCCAGATTTTTTTTTTTTAAAAAAAAAAACATTAAAGAACTGTTATCTAACTTAACCGTTCTCTATTGTAATGCAAATATAGAACGGTTAAGTGGCCTAAACCATTCTTTATTCCTTCCTTGGTGTACGAATTTAAGAAGGGAAAAGAGAACGGTTGTGACTAACAACTAACCGTTCTCTATTTGTTATTATATAAAACGCCTAAACAACCCGTTCTCTATACTTTATACATCGCTTAGTAGAAGAATGAATGCCCCTAATGCGATCTATAAAGCCTAATCTAACAGTTCTCTAAGGCCTTTTTTGTAGTAGTGCCCTTAGCCCTTTGATTTGTTTTATGTCTTCTGCCAGAGATAACATTTTGAAAGAATATCCATACAAAGGATGAACAGGTAAGGCGATAATGGATCCCCTTGTCTTAACCCGCAAAGCGGTTTAAAGGCCGTAGTAGCTTTCCTGTTAATAATAGTTTTAAAACTAACCGTCGAAATACACTGCGAGATCATCTTGATCCACTGTTCCGAGAAGCCATAAGCCTGTAATACCTTTAGCAGGAACAGCCAGTCCACTCTGTCATAAGATTTTGACATATCAATCTTCACCCCAGTGAAATTAGAGCCCTTCTTTGAATTTATGAGATGCATAAGCTCATGACTCAATAGAATGCTGGTTCTTCCATATACCTTCCATATACCTTCCTGTGATAAAAGCATGTTGGTTCTTCAAGACGATGCTTGGTAAAACAGTCTTGATCCTATTAACCAGGCATTTGGAGATACACTTGTACACCGTGTTGCACAAACTGATGGGCCGAAACTGATTTGCAAGTTCTGGCACCTTAACCTTCGGGATTAAAACTAGCAGAGATTGATTCTACTCTTTTAACATAACCCCCATTCTAAAAAATTGCTGAACACTATCCTCGACCAGTTGCCCTACCTCTTTCCAGTAAATGTGGAAGAAATCTGCTGTAAAAAGATTTTGATTTATGCATCCCGAACATAGCCTTCCTAATTTCCTCACCTGTAAACGCCCTGTCAACTGAAGAAATCATTGGGATCTCCAATTGTCGAAGCAGTAAATCAATATCTTCCTCATGATTATTGAAGATGTTAGGATTATAGACCTCCTTAATTGATTTTAGGATTACCTCTTCTACCTCGTGTTGTCCTTCAACCCAATTATCCTCTTCGTTTTTCAGGGTGATGATTTCTTTGTGGAGCTTTCTTTGCTTCACCCGTCTGTACATCATTGAAGTGGGACAATCTCCCATATTAATCCATTTCGACTTCATTCTCTATCTCCAATATTCAAAATTTAACTGACATTCCGGAACGCGCGTATTTATATGATGAATATAGTTCTCTCCCCCCTCAACCGAGGTCACACCCATCCCTGAACTGTTGAGATCTTTTGTTAGCCTTCTCCAGTTAATGCCTCAGCTCTTCCTGTTATCCAGACACCAATATTGAATTTTGGTTCGTAAGTGCTTTAACCTTTTAGAGAGTCGAAACATACACGATCCCCGGGGTTCTATCTTCCATACATCAACCACCAAGCCCCTTACTTCCGGAAAATTAAGGCACCAACTATCAATTTGGTAAGGCCTATTGGATTTTGTCACATTATGATGAGCAATGTAGGAAGTGGCTGCATGATCCGAGCAAATGATAGGCTCATGAAAAATTCATCCCTCCGGTGAATGGTAGAACCATTCTTCCGTAATATAGGCTCGTTCAAGCCTTTCCAGAATCAAACCATTTTGTTCCCGCTTGTTACTCCGAGTAAACCTCGGGCCCGAGAATGGAACTTCAGTTACATTGCTACTAAATCTCCAATCGAGGAATGCATCTATCCCTCTAATTGAAGTACTACCCCTTACCTTATCACTTCCACTTTCAACTTGGTTAAATTCCCCTATAACCAAAACATTCTTGTATTCCTCTAAGAACCAATGAAGTTGTTCCTAAACAATTTCCCTATTTTCAACTTGAGGCTCACCGTAAAAGAACATCACATACTTAGTATTTCCATTACTTTCCGAGATTTTCCATCACATACTAATTTTTTTGAATTAGTATAAAAACTATGTTTTTTTAGTTGACATGCTTTTATTTTCTTCATTATTCACATATATTACTTTGACTTATATACTTCGTGTGTAATTTATTGTTAAGAAATAACATAGTCATGTAAGTTTTAATGTTTTTTTTAAATATCAACTTTATATGATTTTCGCTTATAAATAATAAAAATATATCTATATTTTAAATAACGTATTTGCAATTGTGTATCGGAAAATTGTGTCAACTCAAATGAAGTTAGCATAGTTTATTTTCGAAATATCAATTTTTATATTTAATTAAAAATATTCAGGTCAAACTTATGCGTTGAAAAATGTGGCAATCCTTCCGTGTTTTAATAAGTGATATAATTTGACTAAACACGCATGCCGAGACATGACTTTGACCATTAATTTATCTAATCATATGTTAATATAGTTATAGGAAATTCATATTATGAAAGTATACATTATAACAAATCCAACAATTTATTATACTATATCATTTGTTTTTTTATATATTAGTTAATTGATCAAGTCAAAACCATTATGTGAATAGTGGAAAAGGTCAAACTATAACACTTATTAAAACACGAAGGGAGTAATTATTGATCAAACTATATTAACAGTTCATAAACGAGGGGAGTACAAGTAAAATCAAAAGTGTTAGATGAAGAAATAATAGGAAAATCATGCTCGAAAGTCGAAATCAAGTAGTAAAGAATAAGTACAACATTACGATTAGTTTCACAAGTTAGAAATTTAGAATTATCATGTCCATATAAAGAAGAGAATGACTACACATAAATTAAAGATATGTTAATGTTGTTTTGAGAGCTAGATGGCCCGATCTCATATGGGCCTGTCAAGCTTAGCTTAAAGCTCAAAACATTTTATTTGGGAGTCTAAGGGCCTGTTCATTTCAACTTATTTTCAGTTCAGTTCAACTTATTTTCAGTTCAGTTCAGCTCCAATCGGTTCAACTCCTAATTTCCTTCTCACATAAAATATTTATTTCAACTCTATTCAATTCAGTTCAGTTCAGTTCTAATCAGTTCAGTTCAGTTCCGCTCCAATCAGTTTAGTTCGGCAAATGTGGGCATGTTCACATTTATTGAATTGAGCTGATCAACTGAACTGAACTGAATGGAGCTGAAATGAACTGAATATTTTATAAGAAAAGGAAATTAGGAGCTGACTGAACTGATTGAAGCTGAACTGAATTGAACTAAATTAAACTAAACTGAAATTAAACCGAAGTGAACAGACCCTAAGTATAGCCCTCGTTTTAAACCCAAACTAATGAGGCCTAATTTGAGTGAAATCTCTCACAAATTAACGTAGTTAGAATTAGTAGACAAATCCTTAGGGAGTAAGGAAAAAGAGAAGGCTAAAGGAAATCGTCACTAAGGTCCCCGCCTTCAAATTGTCGTCAATGAGGATTCAATTCTATAATTCTGAGATATAATTCTTATCATTAGACCAAATACTACTTGGTAACTAAATATACAATTTGCCATATGTGAATTAAATACAGTAGACAATATATATGTACTACGCGCTGGAAAATCGTGCAAGTTACAAATGAATAACACTTACAAGAATGAAGAGAGAGAGAGAGAGATAAATGACAATATATAAATAAAAGAGTTTTAATTAATGCATTTCCTCTTTTTGACATTTTGTTAGTTAAGACGAACACTACAAGAGAGGGGGTGAATTGTATGTGATAATGTGAGTTCCTAATGACCATTTTTGCGGAATATAAAACAGAATGTAAATGGAACTTGCAATGCGCATAGGATTTTACGAGAAAACCTTCCAGGGTCTTACTGGAAGTAAAACCTCGACCCTCTAAGGGATTTCCAACACAAAACCAATACACTATAAATGGGCAACACACAAGAGTTACAACCTATTATACTCAGACCTTTAATCACAAGTTCCAGACTGAACTTGCTACACATTAGAATCGTATTCTACCCAACCTAAGTCCATGACTTAGATTCACTCGTACTCCTAGAGTACTATACACTTGGCCTCTCACTAGAAGCTCACTCGGTTTCACCCTTGAAGCTTACAAATCTGTATGCAAAGATATAATTCACTCACCCAAGAACCGAACCAATATAATTAAATGACCTCTAGTATATGAAAGGAATTGAAGCTACACATGAAATCCGATACTAATATGACAAAGAATGGACTAAGCAAACTTACACAATCAAGCACTCTTCGAATTCTTTACGCATAAATTAAACTCACCCGTAAATGTGAAATATGAATTTTACAATTTATACAAGATTGACTCGTATAGAAAGTAAGGTTTTCAAAACATAACTTAGTTAAATTTCCAAAATCACAAAACATGTTTTTCGAGTGAATATTTTGTAAAGGAAATCTTCATCATAGAAAAACTTATCAAAGATAAAATATTGAAAAAATAATATCTTTTGACATAATCGGTTATTATGAAATACAATCTTAGCTTTTTAGAAAATCTTTTCATAAAAACTTATCTTTTTAAACTTTCTTTATTTAAGCTTGCCAAGCTTTTTGTCACGCTTCTAATAGGATTTCATATATAAACTTACCAATCACATTTACAACAATTTTAAAGATATAATCTTAACAAAACTAAATTGCCTTGTCAAATATTGCATTCCAGGATACTTGGGCTTCACGCGGTCCAGAACTAAGTTCCTGATGTCACTTGTACTCCAACTCTTAGCTGGAACCTCGCAGACCAAGTTCTTATGGAACTTAGCTTGCTATCTTCAACGCAGACAAAGTTAAGCTTCTCAACTTTCTGTCTTAAAGTTCATGTTAGGGAACTCAATTAGTTCTTGTAAGAGAAGTCTTCTTTTATCTTCTTTAACTTTCCTTGCAATCTCCTCGAGTCTTCATAGTTAGGTTACTCTTCCACTTCCAAAGTCTAATTCAACTGTTCTAATTACAGCACTTAGAGAATTCTTATTAGTTGAAATTCACTCTTTATATTCATCATCATCAAAAATCTTAAGCTTCAACACATTTCAAAATAATCAGTACAATTTCTTTTTGGACTTGGTCTACCATTATGTAAATGTTTTAAGGGAAATTATCAATGGTACACCCAAGGTTCGGGCTTTTATCAATGGTACACCAACTTAGTTTTTGTTTATCAGCGGTAACCCTAACGTTAATCAAACGTTAATTAAAGGTTAATTATAGGTTAATCCACTTAAAATGAAATGTCTAATTTCCCCCCTACTCCAAATACATTAAATCGCTCCTTTCAAACCTCAACTACCTATATTAAATACTCCTAAGTTAGAAGATCGTTCATCTTCTTCTTCCTTCTCACTCTCTCCCCTTTTTCTGCTACTGTGAGGTTCCATAATCGATGGGCGAATTGAACAAAATTCTAGCAAATTATGCACTTCATTGTTGATCGCTTAAGTTAAGTTTTCATCTGAGTCTTTGATTTTCTGACTTTCGTTTAGTTTTGGTAGTATATGAATTTTTTTGTTTAAATTGTTGAATTTTGGTTTCCATGTACAATTGTTAGCGAATTATGGTTTAAATTATGCACAATGTGCCTGTGATTATTATTTGTTGCTTTATTGTTGTATTTTTTGCACAAATAATTCGAATTGGGTGTGTTTGAGTAGATATATGTATGTTTGTGTGTGAAAAGGGAAAATCAGAAAGGAGGGAAACTATATATAGAGGAAGAGGGGGTGGGTAGGGTAGAGTACATAAAGGAGGGAAAATGAAGAGGGGAAAAAAAGGGAGGGAATTTTTTAAGTTAAAAAAATCGAATTAAACCCCAACTTAATCTTTACTTAACGTTTGTTTAACGTTAAGTGTATAGTTGATAATCGTATGAAACCTTGGGTGTACCGCTGATAAACAAAAACTATGTTGGTGTACCATTGATAAAAGCCCGAAACTTGGGTGTACCATTGATAATTTCCCATGTTTTAACCTAAGCTCTCATAGACCATATATTCTTTACTCTCATATGTTTACTTTTCTTACAATATAAAGTAATTTCTCTTACTTTACTAAAAATAACTTAATTTATCATCTCTTTTCAACATATTTTTTAACTACGGGCTCAAAAGAACCTGTCAATTATTCAAGAACAGAAAGTGATACTATTTCTTCAAATTATAGCCTAGTAACAAGGGGAGTAGAGAAATCATACAAATACTCCTCAAATTGAATCATATGGATAGTATAAAGCTTAATAGCCAATGAAATACTACCATCTCCATTTTGGTTAGCAATCAAATATGATTGGCCTTCATATTGGATCCCACCATGTCGGAAAAATTTGGGCCTACCCCATCCAAAATCAGCCTCGTTAAACGGGATATTGACCCATGAATTAATGGTAAAATTTGGACAAGTAAAAGTGTGAGCCCCACGAACAAAAGCATCCATATTTGGTTGTGATTCAAGGTAATCAATTGCCGACCTTAAGTACTCAATGTTGTTCATTTTATTCACTGCCTTGTGAATCATGCTAGCAGTGTACCATAACGGCTTATTCCTTATGTTACAAACTTTAGTAACACAAGCTGTGAAGAAGATTGAGTTTCCGTAGTAGCCGGGTGGCATTAAGTCCTTTAGTCTTGATCGTCCATCAACTGGTATGTAGAGTTTCACGTCTTGTTCGTCCTTGAGGCCTCGTGCATTACATGATGCGCGCCACACATGTGCAGCTACCACGGTAAACGTACTTAGCTTGTAAGGCTGTGTTCCTCCTTGAGATGTTGCTAGTAGTTTTAAGGTGTTGATTTGTTCCTTGGAAAATTTAAAGTGGCGCTCTGTTACCGTGGGCAGTGCACCTAATGCATGGTAATGGATGTTACAATTAAAGACTTAAGCATGATTTCACATATATAGGCTAGCTATTTGTGAAAGAAGAATGTTAGACTAACCATGCGTGTTTATATTATACGAGTTACAATTAAATAATAACAAAGTTTAAAATTCATAAAAGCAGGAGTAGTGCATTTGAATGTGGAGTTAACAATAAACCATTAATATGCAAACATGTGACCTTTTCTTATACATGTATAGCATGATAGCTTTAATTTTGTTTTGTTTTGAAAATAATCTACATATACGAAGTATGTCTTTTTAAAATCAAGCAAAAAAGCACAAACTTAAACCTAAAATTGTTGGTCTCAATAGCAATAAAAGGTACTACGTATACTAGTATAATGTAATAAATTTAAAGCTTATGGCTCATTTGATTATACTCTTAATAACATCTTAACCCCATCTTAAGTGTATTACTACCTCTGTTTTTAAATATTTGCTCCACTTTTCATTTTCGGCAGTTTTTAAATACTTATTTCATTTCCTTATTTAGAAAGCTTTTACAATATTTAATTCATTTCTCTCCATTAGTAGACCCAACATAAATCATATTTTTTTTTAATTGCATATTCTCTATACTCCAATTCTCTCAAATACTTTTGCTTTTTACAATTTTTTTGTTCTTCCACCTACCCATTATTTTCATATTTTATTGTAAAGTATTTTCTTTAATTTCTTCTAATACTCTAAATATAAAAAAATAGAGCAAGTATTTAAAAAATAAAGAGATTATATTATGTAAGCATGTAAGGTCTACTTTTTCTTAATAGTGATAAAGTGTGTTGTAAAGATTATACCTTTAAAGTATAAGATAAACATATACAAGTACTTTGTACTTTTGTGTGTTGTAAGATTATACTTTTGTAGGTGATGTGAGATGTCCATCTTTGTTTTTGGTGATCGCGAGATTCACGACTCACGAGCGACAAGTCCCATGTGGGATGTCCATCGTAACTCTGTACTTGCGGGTCATTAGATCTTGTCAGATCTATCAATGAATTGCTATCTCCATTCTATACTACAGTTTTTGTTTTCTTATTCTGAAGAATCAAAATATTTTTTTTTTTAATTTTTTTATTAATTTTTGAATAGTAGTATTTAAAGACCACCGTAGTTATCTGTAATCGTCCGTAATCGACGATTAGACCATTATACTCTTAGTTTTTTTTAACTTTATTCATTTTATTACTACATAATTTTACTCTTGAATTTTGCACATATATTGTACTTTTTTCCACTTTCTCTTTCTAATTTTTTTCTATGATTGTACTTTACACTTTTATATATGTAATTTATCCATTTTCTCCTCCTATTTCTTAAATACCGTGAAAAAACACAAATAAGAAATATCCTCCCTCCGTCCTTTTACCACATGCTTATTTCTCATTTTGCACGAATATTAAGAAAGTTCAAAATTTCTTAAAATTAATAATTGGGAGTATAAATATGTATGTAGGGTTAGAGAGAGATAAAGAGAAAGAAAAGTGGTTGGAAATTAGAAGGAGAAAATATTGAAAATTGATGTTAAAGTACAAAAAAGGAAAAAGATGATAAATCATCAAAAAGAGAATAATATTGTTAAAATGTACAACCTATAAATGGAAACAGACACGTACTCCCTCCGTCCCAAATTACTCACAACTGTTTGACTTTTTGCACTATTCGCACATCTCTTTTTAACCATATTTTTTTAACTTTTATACGAAATTTAATGTAATCATGTAAGATGTTGTTGTTGAGTCTATTTTAATATATAGTTTCTTAATATAAACTTTTTATAACTTATATAAATATATAATACAAGATATCAATGGTTAAACATGTGTATCGGCAAGCGTGTCCAGTCAAAATATTACAAGTAAACTGGGACAGAAGGAGAATTTTGATGACCCAAAAAAGCAATACATATATGTAATAAAAGAATAGATGGAGTATTATGGGACGGAAGGAGTATCTATTTATCTTACGTCTTTAGTACGATTTATATACAAGTAAATAACTATCTTAATGCCGTGTTTCTGTAAAACAACATTTTATATTGGTGTATCTCCAATGTTGAAGTTATTATAATCAAATCATGATATATCGTATATTTTCCGATATCCATATCTCTAATACACATTTTTATATTGGTATAATTAATGTTAAATTTTGTTTTTATACTGTCACTTTTTTTTTTTAAACCAAACAAACTTGAGCTTGCATAGATGATAACTACTTATCACTTATCAGTCAACATATAAGGAGCAATCTCATGCGAAAAACATTAAATTATTACACTTCAAATATATATGTCAAATTCTTGTAATAGCCTTAAGAGCTATATAAAAAAACATAAGGGAATATAAATTAGGGAAATTCCCATTGGTACACCCGTGGTTTTGACTTTTCTCATTGATACACTCCAAAATTTTTGCCTTTCCATCGGTACACCCATGGTTTGTTCTTTTTCCCAACTGTGACTAACACCGTTAAAAAGTATTTCATTAAGTTAAAATAATTAAGGAAAAGACTATAATACCCCTTTTAAACATCTAATTTCTCGATTTGCGTGTCGAAAATTATTTGGTTAAAGTTTTGGGAGTCCTAGTCGTTACGGATCCAAATTAACCTCGAAATTAGAAAAAAAATAACGCAAATGTCTCATATGCGTGTCGAAATATGTCTCGATTTGCGTGCCATTACTTATTTGTGATAATAATTGTTCGGTTAAGGTTTTATGAGTCATTTTGACCCTTTATGGGTCTAAATCGAACTCGAAATTAACAAAAAATTAACAAAAATATCTCATTTTGCACGTCATGATTTTTCTTTTTTTGTGTTGTCATGACACGCAAAACAAGACATTTTCGTTACTTTTTTGACAATTTCGTGTTTTATTTAGATCCTTAAAGGATCAAAATGACCCCTAAAACAGTAACCGAACAATTACTATCACAAAAAAATAATGGCACGCAAACAGAGACATTTTTTGACACGCACATGAGACATTTGTGTATTTTTTTGTTTGCTAATTTCGAGGTTTGGATCCTTAAGGACTAACATGACTTCCAAAACTTTAACCGAATAATTTTCAACATGCAAATCGAGACATTAAATGTTTAAAAGGGGTATTATAGTCTTTTCTTTAATTATTTTAACTTAATGAAATACTTTTTAACGGTGTTAGTCACGGTTGGGAAAAAGACTAAACCATGGGTGTACAGATGGGAAGACAAAAATTTTGGATTGTATCAATGGGAAAAGTCAAAACCACGGGTGTACCAATGAGAATTTCCCTATAAATTAAATACAAAATTTTATATGTGGCTATAGCATGTACGACTAATTCACATACATATAACTTTCTCAAAAAATTCACATACATATAACGTAATTAAATGAAAAATAGGTTTTAGTCCAAACAAGTTATCTTAAAGGATGTGGGATTACTCCATTGGAAAAATGGGTTTATATACTTTCATAAATAAGTGAAATAAAGTTAAAATAAAACAACAAAATTACTCGAGTAATAATAAAAACGTGGCAATTAATCACAAAATAATAAATTCATAGATTTGACGATAGATGTCATGAAACTAACCTGACAAGTCTTTAATTGGTACGGGTGGTAAGGGTGGCTCATACTCCAAATGCCGAAACATAGTTTTCCCTTGTGAAGGGTCACTAGGAGAAAGACATGAAGCCCTATTATGAAAGGGTTGAACCGCGAGGTCAAGACCTCTTACAAGTCTCGCCCACGAGTTGATCAAGTGCGCACACGAAGCACCATCGGCTACATGGTGATGGTGCACAATGCCAAGGCTTACGCCGCCACATTTGAACCGTGTGAGCTGCACCATTAGCAAGGGGAACGACGAAAGTCCCCCTACATAGTCATACGTGGGAAAAACCACCTTTCGAAGCTCACTACTAGGCGTAAAGTCCCCAAAATCGTCTAGCTCGTGTGTTGTCTCAACTTCGATAAATAAGGCCCCTTTTGCATTGCAATCGATTTCTATTCGACCTTTACCATTTTTCCAACCCGTTTTTAGTCTTCCAGCCATTGGGTAGAATGGCACAAGGACTTTACAAAGTCCCTCCTTTAAAAGGGTGGTATCGAAAAATGAGGATGAGGATGATGAGGAGGAGGATGGTTGATCAAAGACGAACAAAAGTTGAGTATGTGTGTAAGGCGAACGAGTGATCAAGTCTAAGCTTGAAAGCCAAAGACTCCCCTTTGGAGTATCTTCATCTGCCGGGCAAACAGTTGTTATTTCCTTCACCTTGATGTTCTTCATCTTACAAGGTTTTTTTTTTTTTTTTTTTTTTTTTTTTTTTTTTTTTTTTTTTTTTTTTTTTTTGGTAAGAGGAACTAATTAAAGTATGGAAACAAGAAATACTTGAAAAGGATTGAAGAAGAAGTTTTAGTTAGCTAAGTCATTGGTGATTCGGTGGGGATATATACTACGGAGTACAACAAACTAATACAAAGTACAAGTTTTTGACAACTTAGTTGGCAGGCGGTTGTTTTGTTTTACATTAGATATTTTCTCCATTTACATACTTATTTGGAAAAATGGAAATAAATAATCTCACCTTTGCTCGAACTGAAAATAACAAACCCACCTTTGTATGTCATCTTCTGTTAATGAACCTTGACCTGTTGGTGATCGAGTTTAATGAGTTACATGCCACGTGTCAAATCATAATTGGTGCATTTCATTTAAAAAAAATTACAAAAAAACAAAAAAAAAACAAAAAAAAAAAAGAAAAAAGAAAAAACTCCAACCACCTTTAAACCCTAGCCTTTACCCCGCCCACCACCAAAACCAGTCGGCCTCCCTCCTTAACCTCTGAAAATGGCCGGTCGTCACCTGTCAACCAGGGACACCGAGAACCTTCGCGGTTTTGGTGTTTTTTAGGGTGTTAATAGAGAGATTTCGGGGTGGTTAGGGAGGTAAGGTGGCGTCTTTCGAGGTGGTTAGGGAGGCTGGGTGGTGTTTTTCGGTGATGGGATAGAGGTTTTGGGGTTTCCGGCGGTTTGACAGGGGTTTTCAGCGACTGTGATGGTTTTAAGGACGCCGATTGTGGTGGATTTAGGGTGGTTTAATTTCGGTGGTAGAATGTAAGTAAGGGGTGAATTCGGGGGTGGCTTTAGTATAAGGGGGTTCCGACCGGCCGTTTTCGGGGATTTAGGGTGGCGGCCGTCCGGTTTCTTCTGGGGGGGTGGCGGCCGGTTTCGGGGCTAGGGCAAGGGTTAGGGTTTTGCGGTGGCTTGGGGGGTGGCTGGTGACTGGTGGGTTTTTTATATTTCTTTTTTTCTTTAACTTGTTTTATTTGGACCAATTATTGAGCGACACGTGTCTTTTTAAAAAAAAACATTTTAACTTGTTTAAAAGGTTGTAGGTAATAAGGTTCATTAAAAGAAGATCACATACAAAGGTAGGTTTGCCTCGTAAATATCAAAAGGTAGGTTTGTTATTTTCAGTTCGGGCAAAGGTGGGATTATTTATTTCCATTTTTTCTACTTATTTCACATTAATTTCACCACAAGATCACAATGAAATACGTAACACATGAAGTCATATATAGTCATAGTATTTACAATTCTTTTTTACATATAGAAAGATACATAGAATTTAGGGCAAGTCCGTCCTCTCTCAAGATCACTCACACACACTCACCAAAAAGAAAAAAAAAACAAAGACTATCAACGTACAAAAGGATTGTCAATATATTGGTGAGTTTATCTTGCGAGAAAGATAAGCGAAATCAACAAACAAACACACATATTACGTGTTTCACTAATAATGCATTGGTTGTATTCACAAGCAGTAAAACTGTAAAAGGAAAAGGTTTAATATTGCTCTTGAGGAATACAAATTATAGAACAGATTCAGAATGATAGCAAATGATAATCTAAATGGAAATTTCACCAAGTGCCCCTAAGTTATTTTTTTATTCACCAAATACCCATAAATATTTTCAAATTCACCGTATATCCTTGTATTTAACAAAAATGTCATCAAATGCCCAAATGACTAACGGACGTTAACTCCGTTAGTCATCAGAGCTAAGTATACCACGAGGCAACATCTTATTGGTTGTCTTTTTAATTAATTAAATTTAATTTTTTTTTAAAAAACACTAACCTACCACGGTCCACAACCTATCACAGCCACCGCCACCACCTGCCTACCCCACGTCGCCACCACCAACCTAAAGCCCCGCGCCGGCGACCCTAGCCACCCGCCCTACACCAGCGACATAGCAAGCCATCTTTCTCCCTCGAAAATCTGTTCCCTTCTCCCTCGAAATTCCACCATCTTCTCCCTAGAAAATCCACCACCTTCGCCCTCGAAAACCCCTCCCCACCACCGGCGTCCAAACCTCCCTCCTTGTACATGCAAACCCAAACCGCATCTTCCCCTGGCATCTCCATCCCCTAAACCACCTCACTGAAGCCCCAAAATAAATAACCCCCAAAATCGAAACCTTATATTTGATTTTTAGGGTTTCGATTTTGGGGTTTTAGGGTTTTGGGGTGGTGGTTTTTGGCTAAAGTGAGTGGAGGTGACGTGAGGGATGGAACCTGGCAGCTAAAGACGGGGTTCCGAGGAAATTGGTTGCGAAGTTGGGAGTTTGGACGAATTGGGGGTTTCGAATTTGGGAGTTTGGAATCGGGGGTTTCGGGTTGGTCGGTTGCCGGAGAAGGTGTTTCGCCGGGGATGTGCAGCGCCGGAGTGGTGGGGAGGCTGGTAAGCCAACGGTTTAGGGGAGGTGGTTGGCTGGTGTTTGGTGGTTGACGGAAGGTGGCTAGGCTGGTGTTAGAGGTGGTTTTTTTTTAAAAAAAAAATAATTAATTAAATAATTGAAAAAGATAACTTATCAAATGTCACCACGTGGAAAATTTAGTCATTAAGGGCGTTTCGTGACATTTGAGTTAAACTTAAGTGTATATGGTGAATTTGAAAATGTTTATGGGTATTTGGTGAATACAAAAATAAATCAGGGGCATTTGGTGAAATTTACGTAATCTTAATAAATTATCTTAAATTTCAAATTGTTAGACCTTCTATATAAGATAAAACTCAAAATGTTAAGTGACTAAAAAAACTGAGACACACAGCTAGGAATAACCCTAAAAAGAGTTTATATATTACTCCCTAAAACAAAAACAAAATTGCGCAAATTATAACATGCACCCTTGTGCTTGTAGTTCTGTGTGAACCATTAATTAAACGATGCGTTTAGTTGGGTAATTCACAAAACTTCAATGTTCTTCTTTTCCTTTTGTATTTTGCACGTCTTCTTAGCTCGTCTATTTCCTTAATTAAATTTGTCCAATTTTTTGATTCTCCGTCTTCTCTTCTTCTTATACTTTCCTCCACTTTCTCTCTACTCTATTTTTCTCTCTCTACTTTGATTGAATTCCTTCATCACTTTGTAATTCAATAAGTTGATCATTCTGCTTGTATGAATTCGTTCATTGCCATTAAAATACTGAGCACCATGGATGGCATTCTTATTCATACCTAACGGCCTGACGAGATCGGCAATGCATGTCTGATTTTTTTATTACAATTGATATTAATTTCTAATTAGGTCATATGTTCTGTATGCATTTTAATGATTTTGCAATTGAAATGGATTTGATTGAGGTTTTGATGATTTGGCAATCTGAACTACATACTCTTTCAATTACTAGTTGTAATTTGGTCTACTTTCTTATAATTCATTTTTACAATCAATTAAGCTTTGATCTAATTAGGATTGATGAGTTTTGTTTGTTTTTAGTATGATTATGAATGTTCTGTTCATAATTTGGTATTTTGAACATTTTTGTTAAAATTATGAACATTTTATTTGAAGAAGAAATCTATTCTAACTCTATGAAGAAACAAGTCAGAAATCAGAATTAATAAAGAAGACTTTTGACCTATAATGGTTATTCTTTTTTATTTTAATTGCTTATTTTTTTATGATTTTAAGTTTCATTTATAATTTAATTGTTGAATTGATGCTTTAATTTGTATTTTGTGAATATAATTTGTTTATATTATGTTTTTGAACATTTTGTTCATATAATTTGTACTTTCCATTGTATTCATTATCAAAATTGTTATTAGCAGTATCGTATTATGAACACTGTTTCTATTTTTATGAACATTTAGGTTACTTTAATGAACCTTTGCGTTTTACATAAGTCTCTGAGTATGTATATATGCTTTTAAAAAATAATTGTACACGTAATTATGAACATTTTTTTCCTTTATTTGAAATTTGTTTTTTCTATTTTTGAACTCCAGTAATGGTAATTATGAATTGTGTTTGTTTATTGCAGTTAGAACGTATAAGTTGTTTATAAGGAAAGTCTGAAGGCTGAGCAGCATTCTGAATAGTGTCTTCAGGTGCAGAAGTTTTTAAAGGGTATTCAGTGGTTTGTAGTTGGGGTTCAGAAGTTTTTGTAGGGTTCAGAGGTTTTGTTCAGTGGTTTGTGGTTGGGGTTCAGAAGTTTTTGTAGAGGTTCCGAGGTTTTTGTAGGGTGTCCAGTGGTTTAAGGTTGGGGTTCAGATTTTTTGTAGGGTATTCAGTGGTTTGTGGTTGGGGTTTAGAATTTTTTTTGTAAGGTATTTAGTGGTATGTGGTTTTGGTTAAAAAGTTTTTGTAGGAGGTTCAAAGGTTTTTGTAAGGTGTTGAGTGGTTCGTGGTTAGGGTCCAGAAGTTTTTGTAGGGTGCTCAGTGGTTTGTGGTTGGGGTTCAGAAGTTTTTGTAGAGGCTTCAGAGGTTTTGGTAGGGTGTTCAGTGGTTTGTGCTTGGGGTTAAGAGGTTTTTGAAGATGATTAAAATGTTTTTGAAGGGTGTCCAGTGGTTTGTAATTGAGGTTCAGAAGTTTTTGTAGGCGCTTTAGAGGTTTTTGAGATTGGTTTAGTGTTTTTTGGTGGCTTATCAGAAAATTCTTGGGACTTATCAGAAGTTTATGGGGGCTTTTATATTGCTTCTAGTGTTTTATCAGAAGTTTCTTAAAGGTGTTCAGTAGTTGGTCTATAATTAAATATTAAACAACAAAAGAAGGAAATACACAACATCTGAATAAATTATTATTTCATATCAAAATAATTGATAAATTTATACACAAATTATTGCTTTATACAACACATATATATGGGCATAAAAGACAACGTATATGATTATCAAACATGAGTATATGAACAAAAATATGAAGGTAATGATTATGGAACGATTAACATTAGATTTGCTAATTTTATTGCACAATCCACCAAAATTGGTCAAAAAACACAAAAAAAAAAAAGAAAAAAAAAAACAAATATCCATTTTTTATTTTACAAAACACAAGAAACTTTACATTAAAGTGGATAGAGAAAGTAGAGTTCAATTGTTGAAAATTTTAGAGCTTCTAGTTATTTAGAGGTAAAAAAAATAGGAGAATCAAAATTATCAATGAGGGAAACAAAATATAATTTCCAAAAAAAAAAATGAGAGTTTAAAATCGAAAAAAGGTTGTTGAAAGTTTTAATTTAGATTCTCAAAGAAAAAAGATAATATCAAAATTCAATGGTGAAAACAAATAAAATGGCTGGGCTTCTTACTATTGGGTGTGGGCTTCTTTATGTTGGGCGCGGATTCTTCTAGGCTGGGCGCGTATTGGGCCTAGGGATGACTGTGGATCCGGACCCAACCTGGATCCGTGGATCCAGATCCGTTTTTCACGGATTTGGGTCTTCAAATTTTAGACCTGACAGATTCCGGTCAGATTTGGGTCCTGCTGAAAAAAACGGATTTGGATCCGGGTCTAGCCTCCAGATCCGTTTACCCGTTTTTTTATTTTTCCTATAAAAAAAACTAATATTGTGTGTTTTCTTTGTTAAAAATGTTGATAATGTTAGTAGTGATAAAAATTAGCCCTTTTAAGAGATGAATTTTGGATGCTCATATCGGATACATCATCGTTGTTTTTTCACTAGCTCATTCGTAACATCGTACTTCAATGTTTATAATTTTATTTCAAAATATAAGTTTATAAGTTTGTTACTTTGTGTTTTTAGATTAGTTGTATAACTTTAAAATAAGTTGAACTAACTTAATAACCCCGACGGAAGTGTGTAATGCATTTTTTGACCCAAACATTACATTTATTGCAAAAAATTAGGCAAAATGTATTGGACCTGGATCCGTTGTACTCGTCGGATCTGATTCGGATCTTCATTTTCCAGACCCGACGGATCCAGGTCGGATCTGGATCCTAGATACAAAAACAAATCTGGATTCGGGTCCATCTAGACCCGGTCCAGATGCGACCTGTTGCCATCCCTAATTGGGCCTGGTGCACCTATTTCTAGGTGCACCATGGTGTATGTAATACCAATTGCCTAAATAGAGAACTTCGGCCCAAGCTAATAGGGTCTAGCGCCCAGCTATATAGTAGTGTATAGTACTATGAACTACACGACAATGTGTATCATGGAGTAATAGTACGGTGACACGTCGTGTACCATGAAGCACCCGTCGTGTACCTAATAGATCAACGTTTCAAGGCATTCTCTAAAACTTGACCCGTAAGGTGCAACATAATATTGTACTCTCTTCGTCTCAGAATATTTGACACGGTCAACATTTCACACATGTCAATGCACTAGTTTGACTTAATTTTAATATGATTAATTATTAATGAAAATTATTTTTAAAATTATATTGTGAAAATTTTTATTAACACCTACTCTCTCCGTCCCCGAATGATAGTCACTA